GGAATAATTTCTAAACAATATAAGACTACATCATTTAGATCCTAAAACATACTTTTGTATGGCCAATCAATAAAAACAGAATATTGTCAAAAACCTGCATAGTCTTGGGGCACCTGGGTGGCACAGTCTGTAATGAGTCTGCCTTTGGCTCCAGTCATGATCCCAGGATCCTGGGACTGAGCCCCACATTGGGTTCCCTGCTCAGTGGAGAGCCTGCTTCTCCTTCTTCCCCTTCCTCCTGCTTGTGCTCTCTCTCTCTCTCAAATAAATAAATAAAATCTTAAAAAAAAAAAGAAAAAACTTTCACAGTCTAGATTTTCTGATTTTTAAAAAGTTCAGTCAGGGTTCAGAGAAAAGTGTCTCTCAAGTGGGCCTAAGGTTAAGTAATATATTTTAACTAACAGGCTATGAGAAATCTAAAGGAAGTCTGAAAAATTTTACATTTTTAAAAAATTTTGATCACATACGATCAAATTCAGAATTCAGAACCACTATAGAATCTCTCACAAAGTCTAACTCTAAAACAAAACAAAACAAAAATATTTCTAAAATTCAGGTCTTCACAATAAGTATGTCTTTGAGTAGTTCCAAAATACATTTTGCCTCGGAATGGTGGGCACTTTAAATATGGATAAGTAATTTACCTTTTAAGTAGCTCAAACAGGGAGGGAGAGAATAGGAGTGAATGTCAAGGGAAAGTAGCCTCCACTTAACTCAGGGTTTTTGTCTTTTTATTCCTCAGCTGTGGGTATCAGTAGTCTTCACAAGGTGGAACTAGCCTACAGGAATTTCACTTCCACATCTATTCATTTATATTTAAAATGGATTACGTTTCGAACTGTATCTCCTTTAACTTATTAAAATGTTAGCTATTATTTTTTAGGTCCTCAGTATATACCAAACGATATCTAAGCATTTCAACTACATTATTGCATTGAATTTGATTCCAAAACAACAACCCTCTGAGGTAAGTGTAATTATCTCCATTTTTAGATTTGGTAACTGAGATTTAGAAAGATTAAGTCAGTTTACCGTGACAGAAAATGGAAAGAACTGGGATTTGTATCATCTGGCTGATTTCAAATCTGGTGTCCTTGTCCATTAAGCTGTGCTATACAATACGGTATACAGGAAACCGTTTTATCTTTAGACTCAGGACACTCAGGTTGAAATCCCAGGTATTAGCTGTGTAAATTTAACAATTCCCCGATCATTTCCTCAGTGTACATTTCCCCATTGTAAAATGAGGTATATGATAACTCTCTTTAATTCACGGGAATATGGTGAAAGTAAATTTTAAAAGGAAAGCTTTTTATAAATTATAAAGATCCTTGCAAATAAATACTATTCTAAAGTTTATATTTGCACATATCAGATACATGTAAATGCTTGTTGAATTTAATTTTGATAGACTGTGGAATAGGCACAGTGACCATTAAGCCAATTTTAGATCATAATAGCAAGGAGCCTAATTTCTATGCTAAAAAAGTAGGTGAATTAAATGACTTCATGCTGATGTTTTGATGAGGCTTGATGATTTTCTTAGTCAAGACTGCCTCCCATTCCCACTTGGTGGCAAGTAAAAAAAGTCATTTAAATGTACTAGAAGAACCTCGTGTTTCTTAAGGTGCCTAAGGATAAACATGCCGCTGCATCTCATGAAGGCCAGAGAATCAGTAGGTAAGAACTGTTACTCTCTCTTTGTCTCTGTTTTTGCTTGCCTCTGTATGACTGATTTATTTACCAGGTTCAAAAGGAAACGTCCACTAGGTTTAATATCTCCTCAAGTTCAAATTTCTAAGGTAGTATAACCAGAATTTCTGGATCCCAGGTCCAAATTCTCTGGGGAGAGAATCTCATTGGCCCAGCATTGGCCAATATTTACTCTTATTACAAGATTTCTCATACTCAACCTTCAATACTTTTAAAAATTTCATGATGAATAATTATTCTTTGTTTGGGTGGGGGTGGAGTGAGGTTCTCCTGTGCACTGTAGGATGTTTGGCAGCATCCCTGGCCTCTACCTACCAGATGCCAATAGATGCTCCCCCAACCCCTACTCAGTGTTGTAACAGCAAAAATATTCAGACATTATCCAATGTCCCCTGGGGGCAGAGTCACCTCTGGTTTAGAAACACTGCCCTGTGACTAAGGTTAGAGCATCACAAAACAAACACGGCCTCAATGACTCACCCCACTAGAAGGGGGTAGTTCTCAGAGGAAGAAAGGTGTCTGGTTGGCAATTATCCTAAAAGTTGTCTACTATAGGAATAAGAGATGTTGGTGAAAATTATGATTTTTTTACTAACTTTTGTATATTTTTTACTAACATAGCCAAATCTCTTAAAATTAATTAAGAGTTTCAGAATTTTGAGTGCTGTATGAATTGAAGGCATATTTAATTTTCAGAGTTGGAGAACACTCATGTGTGCTGTTTTCTCATTCTTTTAATAGAGTGATTTCCAAAACTTTGGCTCCCTATCAATTAAAGAATGATCATTCAGCACTAAAATATTACTACTACTACTACAAAAGAATAATTTGTACTATATTTTTCTATTCTACAAAAATACATATAAAATGCAACAAATATTAAATTAACTAAGATAGTTTTATTTGATTTCATTCACTAATAGTATTATTAAAAGTACTACATGGGACTTCTGATCCAGAAATAATGGCATACGCCTCCTTTTCCCTGCCCTTCCTCACTAAGAACAGCTATACCATGGAAATAATGCAGAAGGCAATAATGCAAAGGAGAACTCTGAAAGGTGTTGAGACAAAGGCAAACTGGTTTGGGACCCTGAACTGGAGGAACAACACAGTAGTAGGCATCTTATGTCTCCCTACTCCACAGAAGAAAGGAATCCAAACTAGCATTCCTTAAATGGAAGCTAGCAACAGAAAGCAGCCCAAGTAGGCTTATACATTCCCCAGATCTAACTTGTGGGCCTCAAGAATGCAAGGTGAGGTTGGCTGGCCTGAGAGTTCCCTCCCCCTCCAGAAGACCAGGGGTGAGTGGGGGGTACCCACCAGAGGGGCCCAGCCACAACCAGCAGCCAACGGGGAAGTGTCCCTTGGTAAAAGAAGTAAGTGAATGAGTAAAAATTAATTTTTAAATTTGACAACTCTGAAGTTTTTTGCCATGAGAGGACCTGAGGACCTCTGCACACTTAACAATTTCCATGGTTACTTGCCACTTCATCACAGAGTATTACAACCATTCTTCTATATTTTAGAAATCTTGACTCTGTGCAAATGGCCACATCAGTGTTATTTCAGCATCGTGTGCAACTCGATTTCAACTACTTTGCTGTTAAAACATTGTCTACAAATATTGTAGTGAATTTATTTCACATATTAATCTAATCTTTACAATCCTGCTTAAAATTCTTGCCAAAACATAGCTGCCATAAAACAGTATTTCTGTCAAATAAGTTAACTTAAGTCTACACTGAGATACTATGTTTCATCTAACTTTTTGACAAAGACCGGAAAGTTTGATAATATACTGTTTTACCCAGGGAATAGGGAAACAGGCATTCACACACATTGCTTCTGGCAGAGAAAACTTTTACAAACTTTACAGAGAACAAGATTTCCATGTTAGTGATCTCTATCAAACTGCATAAACACATGTCCTTGACCTTGTAATTACCACTTCTAGGAATTAACACTACAAGTGAATTCATGCATATATGCATGGAATAAAAAAAATTAAGGGGCATTATAGCATGTAAAGCATGCTAGCATTTGAGTGAAAAATGGGCTGGAACATACACATATTTCCTACTGTGTGCATAAATAGTCTCTGGAAGAATACACAAAAGTAGCCAGTAACATTTTGTTGCCTAGGGGTGGTTGAAGGACAGAGGCAGAACAAAAGTGGCAAGACATTTTTACTTTATGTTCTTTTATATTTATGAATGTTGAACATGAAAATGTCCATGAATTATTTTTTTAAAAAAGAAAGAAATCATTTACCAAAGAGAATATTTTTCCTATACCTGTTTCTTTGGTGGCTTACAATAAAGTAATTATTTTTGTATTTCCTTATTGAAACAGAACCTAACAAACATGAATTGAGACAAATTAGAAATATCTGGACTTTCATCCAACAGTATAATAAGTTTCCATAATATCTAATATTTGTATATTCATACTTTCAATCACATTCTCTGTGTCTTCTATGCTAATAAAGGAATAAATTTCAAATTGCCAACACACTGGTTTCCATATATTATTCCAGCTGTTGTTATTGCAGCAGGAAGAAAAATCTTTACCACTTATATAGAGCATTTTGTTTTTCCTTTTTAAAGAAACCATTTATCCTTAAGATTAGTAAAAATTCAGTGCTGATTTAAGTATGGCTTTAAGAATGCTGAAAAAAATAGATACTTATCTTTGTATTCAATATACTTTGTTTTTAAACGTCTTAGCAGTGATGTTAGCTTATATTTACTTTAATGACTAATGCAAGAAACAATATAGGCAAGGGCAAGACACACTGTTATTTAATAGTTAATCTATATCCATAATTCATATAGTTAATATCTCTGTGCCTAGAATAGAGTGGGGACAGAGTGCTCTGTTTTTTCTCTTTTTTTCTTTTTCTAATAAATGAATGGTGTTATAACAAAGTACTGGGGAAAAGTACTGAGATATTAGGTTAAGCTCAAATGGAGTTACCATTTTGTACACATTTGAATTTCCTACTTTCTCTGTTATACAGACTCTTAAAACATGGTTAATATCAGCACATCTGTGTTGTTGATAGCATTAACCTGGAAACCACAAAGAAATGTAAGAAACAATTATATATTATGTTTCATTTGAAAGCTATGAAATTAGGCAGTTTACTTGAATAGAAGCAAATCCACCACAAAGAAGCAAAAGCTCATTTTCATGTTTCTGATGACCCAGAAGTGTGAAAAGCATCAATTATTAAAATTTCTTGACCATTTCAAGCCCATGCCTTCTCAGTGCTCAACACTTACAGGTCTGGCAATGATTTTCTGTGGGTCCCCAGCATCGGCCAGTACAGGACTTATGACAACGTCCACCTGTAGAATAGGAAAAAGCACATATACATTATAATCTTTCAGTCTTTGACTAGAAGCAACTCTTCAATGAAAATATTCTTGCTCCTTTATGGGGATTTTTATATTATACTATAGTTGAAACGTAGCTCATAAAATGCCCACTTGAGTTGAATGTCAAATGCATATGAACCTGAAATACAATCTCCTGATACTCAAAATCTTCTCATCATTTTATAAGAAGTTTCAAGCATTTAGGGGCACCTGGGTGGCCCAGTGTGTTAAGCATCCAACTCTTGCTTTGGCTTAGGTCATGATCTCAGGGTAGTGAGATTGAGGCCCAGAGCCCCACATAGAGCCCAGAGTCAGGCTCTGCACTGAGCAGGGAGTCTGCTTGAGATTCTCTCTCTCCCTCTGCCCACCCCCAATCCCCTGCACTTATGCTCTCTCTCACTCTCTCAAATAAATAAATGTTTTTAAAAAGTTTCAAGCATTTAAAACATAAACTTCTTAGAAAGTTTAATTTCAGCTATTTGACATCCTCTTTTAAAAATTTTGTTGATACTACCTTTATTTTCAAATATAAACTCTTATCTCCTGTAGCAGTATCTTTCTCTTAAGGACTTTGCTACTCTAGGTATTTTGCTCAGCAAATACAGTTGTCCCACAGAGAAATTCTCCTAAGGACTCAGCAAAAGAATATTAGCTAGGAGAAATCATATATAACGATTTTCTTTGAAGGTTGCTTTTGAATTTCATAAGTTCACTCTAAGTATTTGTGGGTGTAAGGGTATAGAAGTGCTTATTTTTAGAATAAAAAGTACACCTGAAAATCTATTAAAGACTAAAGCTTTTTTTTTAAAGATTTTATTTATTTGAGACTAAAGCTTTTCTATAACATAATTCTTATTAAACCTTCTCTTAATTTTCTAATATTAATTGTGAATGAGTATATGCCTATATAAGATGTGTATTCTAATGTAATAAGCTATATGGTAAAAATTATGAAATAGGGTTATATCAAATGTTTCCTTCTTTCTTTGACTCATGAGTTTCAACTCTTCAACTTGAAAGATCTTACAACTTGGGCAGTTTTTGTTGTTGTTGTTTTGTTTTGTTTTGTTTTTCTCTCTCTCCTTAAGAGACTGCCTGAATGAACTTGTTATGTTAAATGCTTTCACAGTTAAGGAGCAGATTCAGTTAAGGAGCTGAACCTCAGACCATCCAAATGGTCTACCTTCTGCAAGTGAACAGTATTATTTCCAAGTTAATATAACACTTAGGCTCAATTCCAGTCACCTTCTTAAAAGTATCAGGATCCTTGCCACAAAAGAGTTTATTTAAAGCAATTCTGTTTGTGAAGCACTGTTGCTGACATCACCAGCATATAATATCCTGTCACTCTGCCATCTGTTTATTTAGATCCAAACACATTATAACTACATAATGCAAGCTCATTCTAGCTGACAGGAAAAGGACTCCATCTGGCCTGAACAATATAACTTTAATCAGTGATAATGATAATTATTATTAAAAACCTACTGGAGCTCTTTTGTACAATGCTAATAAATCTAATTTGATTTATACCAGCGGAAATTAGAAAGGGCTGTGAGACAAAATGGGAAGCAGAGAAAACTCTGAGTACAAACTTTTTATGAGAAAGTAGCTAAGGTTAATATATTTCTTTAGATGTGTTAAAATCTTTTAAATCAACCCATTAAGTGGTCTGTTAATTAAAGATATCTGAAGCAGAAGATGATCTACTATTTAATCTATGACTTCTTTAATTGTGTTAGAGGCTAGTGAAATATTTAGCTGTATTCACTGTGACCAGAGCACTCTTGGTAGCTGGGGGGAGGAGGAGTAGCTAAGTAATAGAGGACATTTTAATATACTCAGTGTTCCATTTTTATTAGATTATATATTTTCTACCTTTTTATTCTTGCAGTTTTGATTTAGCACCCCAAGACCTATGCCTAGATCCAATACAAAAAGGAATATTACTAGAAATTTGGTTTATGATTCTTGGCAAAGTATCACGGCAAGAGCCACCTACTTGGAAACAGATGATCTAGTACCCACACACACACACACACACACACACACACAAAGTTTAAATAATTTAACCTTCACTATGTACATGTTGTTAGGAAATTTTGTTTGGTAGTGTCCATTTTTTATTCAGATTTAAACAAAAATATCTATTACTGCTATAAAAGGAAGCTAACAACAACTGCCCCTCTTCTGGGATTTTACCCAGTCTTATATTCCCTTCAACCCTTTTGGTAACCAAGAGGAGGGGGATTACTTGGCTCACACATTTCAGAATTCTATTACTACACACATGGGAGGAACCGTGGCCTCAATGTGCTCCACAAATTGTTGCTCATTCTGGCCTGCGCTTCATTTGACTGTCTTTGACTCTTTGGGATCTGCTGACACATTCATTTCAGCTTTAGTCTTCAAAAGTGTGCCATATATGGCCCTTGGGAAAACACTATTTTCACTGAGTTGTTGCAATTCAGTAAGTGTCAAAATATCTGAACAAAATCTGACCGGAGGTATTTCTGAATTAACGTATTTGCCATACTTTCATGTCTGCAACCTTAGTTTGATTCTTGTAGACAACTGGGTAGTGTAGTTTAATATGCTTTAAAATATGCTTTTAGGTTTTTGTTTTCAACAGTTCTGCTGCACACAAGTGTCAAAAAATGAGAAGGTAGGTAAGGGGTTTCCTTATTAACTACCTATCTAGAATAGGAAAAACAAAACAAAAAACAACTACAATTTTTTTCCCCTACCCTCTTTCCATCCATTTATCCAAAAGTATTTTTTCAGTTCCTTCTGCATCTGTGTATTAGGAACTACGTTAAGTATCAAAACAGACATGGTGACTTCTCTAATAGAGTTTAGAATTAATTTAGCATTATTTTAAAGGGAAATGATTTTGTTTACTCTGTATCTAATGTTCACCTTCTATGGGGTTTAAGGAAAGAAGCCAACAAATCTAAATTTTTAACAGTCCTCTTATTCAGGCAAGAAGAGTTGGATGCAGCCAGGTTGAATTGGACCATTTCCAATGTAATGCCTCGTGGCTTGGAAGTCCACTCCATTCCTTATACAGTGATTTATCTATATGACATCTAAAATGAGATCAGCCCAGAGCATTTCAGTGGAGAGGATAAGTATGGCCCATGAAGGATCCCCTGTGTGTCCTCTACAAAAAGAAAAAAGCTTTAATGGTGGCCCATTATCTTACTGAGAACTTCCTGTTTTCTATTCTCAGATTCTCAGGCATTCAGTGTCTCAGGAGGGCTGATTTCAAGGGGAAAAAAGACCATATATTCACAACTCTTTTACTGTGAATTAATTTTATAAGTAACTTCTCTAGTAGTATGTTTTTAAAATAAGGACAGCAGAAAGGAGAGATAGATACTAGTCTATGTAAATGGAAAAAATATTTTGGGGCACGGAGACCTTGCCAGTGTTGTCCAAATCTGCCTATTTCCAAGTCTCAATCTGCTACATGATTCTCTTCCATTGTTTATTACAATAATTCTTTTAAAACTATGTGAGGAAATGTGCCACTTAAAAAATAAGAATCTGACATTTCCATTCAGCTTAGTGATAGCATAGTTATTTAAATCAATACTCCTACCTCTTGTCACTCTGACTCAAAGAGGTGAAATATAAAACACAATTTTAAACAAATATTTCTGTTCACTTTTAGCAACCATTTTAATCTTTTAAAGTAAGTGCTGATTACTGCACATCAGCATTATTTTAATTTACAATCACCTCTACTTTGACAACTCATTATTCATCACAGAAGTTAGCAAATATGACTAAATTCATCTTTTATGCTTGTTCAGCAGAAGTTATTAAAAACGTAGCTTTCGCATTCTTTTTTTTTTTTTTTTTTTTTTTTTTTTTTTAGGAACTAGAGTCCCTGAGCCACTTTGTAAATTCATGCTAGAAGTTTTCCTCATTTGTGGGACCACCTGACAGAAGAGATGGAATTTAACATTTACCTCTGGACTGCTTTCTGCAAGTAATATGCCCAGACAGTAGTTACAAAATGAAGTGAATGGCAACCATAAAAGATTATATCCTCAAACTGCTTCTAGCTAAAGGCAATGCAGTTATATCTCTGGATTCTTCTTTTAGTGCTTTTAAAAACTGGCAGTATTGACCTCTTAAAACTTTCTTTACTGGGAAAAGAGTGAAAGAATAGTATCTTTTTCGTGACCCTATAATTCAGAAGGGAGAAGTGGAACATTTATTGGAAGTCTACACTAAATCAGTCCCTATTCTTGAATGGATGATAAAAACATGAATAAATAAAAGCCCTGCCCTCAAGGAGCTTTCAAGAACCAGGAAATAAGTAGAAGAATAGGCAAATGATTATGATAATCACATTTGCTAAAATATAGGTATGCATAAAGTGGAGAGGATGGATTTGAAATAGGCTCCATGGAGGGGCAGGCATTTCAATTGGTCTTGAATGTCTAGTTTGTCAGAAGAGGAAGGAAGTTCCAAGCTCAATGACTAACCTAAGCAATGAGACAGAGGCATGGATGCACACAACTCTTTGGGGCCATAACGAATACTTTATAGTCCTTTGAGCTATCTGCATTGGGACAGCATCTGGAGGGTAAGCTTACAAGGTGTCTTGAAAATCTTCTAAATAGGTCACAGTTTACTCTGTGCAGGTGTTATGGAGTTAGTCAAATTTTTAAAAACTGAAATTATGTGGTTTGATCAGCAGAGTGGAAGAGAATTTCAGGTTATGGTTCCCAAAAATTAGTGTTGAGATTTGAGAACCTATGCAAAGTGCTGATTTTATAGTCTGGGGCGAGTGAGGTACAGGAATCCATATTTTAAAAAAGCAATCCCAGGGATTCTGATGATGAAGTTTCCAGATGACAAAGTATGGCTAAGAAATAACGGTTTGGCATATAATTCCAAACATCGTAGTCATATTTTGAGACAATACTTTAACCGTAACATTTGATCAGATGCTT